CTAAACTGAATATGCAAGGTACCCCAATGATTCTGAAATTAATGCATATAATATTTCTCATCAGGATGTGATATCTCTTACTTTTTGCCAATCCTAACTTTATTTTCTCACTACTTTTATTATTGTTCCAGAAAGCAGTGTGTTGTCACAGACAGCCAGTGCAGTTGTTTTTCTGCTCAGTGCTGGCATGTGTATAAGTCTCTTTGTTATTGCTGTCCTCATTTACATAACCAAGAAAAACAACAGTGATCATCACAAAGGTAATTGAAGTTACTCACCATTTGCTATAAACAAAAATAAATAATTATTAGACATTTAATTCTTAATTAAATGTTATATTTCTAGACTATCAACAAGCTCCGGTTAATGATCAGAAAACACAACAGGTACTTAATGTTAACATTATTCTGATAAATATGAACTTAAACAAATTAAAGGTTAAAAGTTTTGATATTTTCTAATATTTTCCAATTTTATAATATTTTTATTTAGGACATTTCCTGGATTAAGGACACACAGATGTTTTCTGCTGTCATCTTTGCTGTGATGAAAATTTATATTTGCACAACAAAGGTTGTGAATGCAGCAGAGGAGCAGCAGATCTACACAGCTGTCAAGGCTTTTGGGCTGGATTAGAGCTACTTACTGTTGCTTGGTATGAAACATCTACATTACAGGATTTTTTCATCTTATAGATAATACGCTTTTATGTGTTAAAGTTCTGTACATATACATTTGCACACACATCTAATGTGTATGTCTGTTGCTTTTTTCTGTCTTATTTACATTATTGTTATTGTTATTATCCATCCATCCATCCATTCGCTTCCGCTTATCCTTTTCAGGGTCGCGGGGGGCGCTGGAGCCTATCCCAGCTGTCACAGGGCGAGAGGCGGGGTACACCCTGGACAGGTCGCCAGTCTGTCGCAGGGCCAACACACAGGGACAGACAACCATTCACACTCATATTCACTCGCACATTCACACCTAGTGACAATTTGGATTATCCAATTAACCTATCCCCTCAAGCTGCATGTCTTTGGACGGTGGGAGGAAGCCGGAGTACCCGGAGAGAACCCACACAAACACGGGGAGAACATGCAAACTCCACACAGAAAGACCCCGGCCTGATGGTGGAATTGAACTCAGGACCTTCTTGCTGTGCGGCAACAGTGCTAACCACCGTGCCACCATGTTATTATTATTATTATTATTATTATTATTATTATTATTATTATTATTATGTGCTGCCTTTAATGAAGCCCAAGTAAAAGAAAAACTCCTCCAAACAAATTAAGTAATCATGTTAAATATTCCTTTCTTTCCTCACATTTCCCATTACCAAGTGTTTTCCTTAACATTTCAGCAAAATAGTGCAAGGTTGTTTTAAAGTATTAATTTAAGTAATATACCATTTTCAGGTTGATATCTACTCACATTGAAAATGTTTACCCAGTAAACTCCCCACAGATTTGACTGAAGGATAATTTCATCTCAGACCAGCACATGTTTTAGACTGTCTCTGATAGTGTCTGCAGAAACGTTTTTGAAGTTTGTACACATAGCGTTCTGTGTTGTGTTAGAACCAAGAGCAGCCTAAAGAAAATATCTGTGAAAACCTTGTATTTACTCTGAATATTATGTAGAAAAGGTATTTAAATATATTTATTCTTTCAAGGTTAAAAAAACAACAACAACAACAACATTAAAATACCTGCATAGAGACTATAAAAATATAAAACTATGCCTAAAAATTACAGAATTTCATCATGAAGTCTGTGATGAATAAATTCTTTATGTACTGTAATCAGTGTTTATGTTCAAGCTGGAGAGATTATACCTCTCGACTGGTCTGGGAACACCTTGGTGCTCCCCTGGACAAGACAGAGGACGTGGCTGAGGAGAGGAAGGTTTGGGCGTCTCTGTTTAGGCTGCTGCCCCAGCGGCCTGGACCCGGATAAGTAGAAGAAGATGGATGGATAAAAATTGTTGGAAGCAAATTTGATTGTGTTACACTGCATATCCTTGCATGATGAGAGACTATCATGCGTTTTTATGCTAAAATGTGTTAACCAAACTTGACCCTTCCCTCTTTAACGTTATACGACACCTGTAAAATCGACAGTTTTCCTTGTCTGTTGATTAAAAAGGTGAACAAACCACCGTTTGGCTTAACATATTGATCCTCCATCACATCAGTGTTCTGAATGCTTTTATTGTAAAAGATTGCTGATCATTAGTGGTGCTGGCAACGCCGCCTGTTGGCCGATTGTGCTTCCTGTTCAGTTAGTTGCCTGGAGTTTCAGCGAGACTACCTACTGATCATGTTTACTTCTCTGTTAATTAAAATTCTCTTCAAAGTTTCTCATTCTTTTATTTCCATGCTGAATGGAAGAGGACACATTTAATTACAGACTGAGCAGCTTTTTTCAACTTTGATTCAAAATAATGGTTTTCAGTGTCCAGCCAGTTTAGGTTTAGGTCAGACATAACTTTTTGCATCTATTTAAATTTGAATTTGCACCACTTTAGTAACAATTAAAAAAAATCTCTCTCACACTACAGTTTATGATGAAAGACTGCTGAGAACATTTTCTCTAATCAACCTCAACTACACTTTGTTCATTACACAACAGAGGGACATAATCTGAATAAAGATTAATGAGTTATGTTACAAAATACTTTGAGCTTGAAGTCACAGTTTTCAGTGTCACAAAGGTGGCTCTCCTATTACATGGTTATATGGCCATGGTGACTCATCAAAATCCATACATGATCAATAATTATATCATTTTTTAATATTATTTATTAATTTGTTTATTTTAATTTATATTCAGTAATCTTTGAGAGCCAGAAAGATTACATACTAAAAGAATATGAATTTTATAAGTTATTAAGCTGTACCTTACTAACACTATCGACCGAAGCCCAGCTGTACAGCAGCACAAACTGTATGAGTCACATTCAGTTGGTGATGCAGAAATGTAAAATCATTTTTATGTTTGATTCTAATATTACTAAATCTCTTTTATAAATAACAAGAATTAAATGATGTGACAGAGCTTGAAACAGAAGCTCTGAGTTAGCAGAGAAAGTTGATAACCATAATCAACCACCCATTATCTGTGACAAGAACAGCAACAACAACCTCCATCTAAGCTGTGCAAGACAACATGAGCAGCTGAAATGCAGGTGCCTCTATGTGACACCACAGGAAATGAGGAGAAAACACAAGCAAAGAAAAGCACAGAGGAAAAAACAGACCAAAGCTGACAGAGGAAGCAGAAAGGCGCATATGAAATAACCAAAAAACTGTAGTCTGTAAAGTGAAGAAGTAGTATGTAAGTTTCCAACCACTGTGACACTTCGGGCTGTGAACACATTAAGCTGATCTAACTCATATAACCTTTGAAAGCCTGAACCTAACATGTGAAGACCTCTATTCACTGAAATCAATACAGCAGTAATCAGTACAGATAAACAAAGACTAAAATATGAATTTAAAAATATATTATTCCGACTTCAGTTTTTTTCACCAAACAGGATTTCTCCATATGTGAGCAAAGCACAGTAGTATGGTTTTAGCATTAGATGATTTGGAAAGACTGTAGTCACATGTCTCGTCCTCTTTATTTCTGATACTGTCATAGGGCCTGGAAGGGACTCTGGCCCATCTCTAAAAGAGACAGAAAACCATTCACACTCAGATTCACACCTATTCAATTTAGAAATATCAGTTAACTTCTCCCCACTAACTGCATGTCTTTGGACTGTGGGAGGAAGCTGGAGTACCCGGAGAGCAGGCACGCAAACATGGGGATAACATGCAAATTCAGCACAATTTGTTCGTGTGAGGCGACAGTGCTAATGACTACACTCTGCTCCCTGTATGTGCTGTGTGAGCTGTATTTATTTATTTTCATTCTCATTCCTTTTCATTCTTACTCTATTTCTATGCAAGTACAATACTGTTGTGATTATTCTTAGTTTATCTTATTTCTATATATATGTATATTTGATTTTTTTCCTCTTTTTTTTTTTACAGTTTTCACCTTTGAGGACGATATTTTGTCCCACTGTATACTTGATGGGTTGACAATAAAACACTTTACTTGTTATGTTAGGGTTAGGTCTCATTCCAAAATGAATTAAATTCATTTTTCACCTTAAAATTCTGAACACAACACCCCATAATGACAAAATGGAAAAAAAAAAGTTTTCTTGAAATTTTTGCTAATTTATTAAAAATAAAATACAGAAATATAACATGTATGAGGAGTAGTAAGTAGAAAGTAAGTAGTAGTAGTAAAGACTGGTGTTCAAAATGGCAGAAGAAAATGAATTTGCTGCATAATCTATCATATACATTCATAACAATAAAGACAGAGATTGGTGCAAAAGTACAATAACAATAAACACAAAAATATAGGTGTGGTGAGAATAAGGCATGGCGGGACCACGGAGTGTCATTCATGTTTTGAGCCATCTTTATTTACATCTCACCACAACAACACACCAACCCCTGAGTCCCCCGTGTTTTAACACGGCGGGCGTGATGTACTTTATTCGTCAAAGGAGATGTAACACAGAATATAGCATAGAATAACTAAATGCATTAACAATATGATACAATGTTTTTTATGACCAAATTCATTCAAATCAATGAAAATTTTAATTGAAAATTTTATATTTTTAGTGCTAAATAAAAAAACAACAGCTGATTCAAGGCGGTTTGCGAGAGTTGTCATTTTGTATGTTACAGCAGCGGCCCGGTACCGGTCCGTGAGTTGTTTGGTACCGGGCCGCGAGAGTTGAGGCTCAGGTGTGAAATGTCTGGTTTTCAGGGTTTTTATCGGTCTTCAGCGTTATTTTGTTATCGTTTTAATCGTTAACTCGGTTTCCCTGGGTCTTGTCACGTGTGTTATGAATAACTTTTCTTTTTTTCGGTACCAGTACTAGTTTTATTTTGTTGTATTTATCCGCGACACCTTAAAGGCCGGTCCGTGAAAATATTGTCGGGCATAAACCGGTCTTTGGCGCAAAAAAGGTTGGAGACCGCTGTGTTACAGTTAGTCAAATATCCTACTGTTAGTCTCACAGCTACAGTGAGTAAACAAAAACCAGTCCACCAGATGTATTATGCTATGACATGGGCCTTTTATATGTTTTCATTAATGAAGCATGCCAATATGAGTATAAAAAGGAATAATTTCATAATCAGTTTTATTAATTCATTGGATTAACCTTTGTTGTCTACAATGTTTTCTTTGATATTCTGGTTCCAAAAATCATGAATGTTCTAAATTTAAGAAAGCAAAGCAAGAAAAACCTTTAGTGTCTGGATAAAATAAGAACTGCGATCACAATCACACAGAGAGCCAGCAGCATGCCGAGCACAATGACAACCGGGTCCCACTTTTGTCCTAAAATCACAAAACAAAATACACTAAATTCTTTCATTCTCATTTATAATTTGTAAACAGAAAATATTATCAAATGTCATGAAAGAAACGCTGAATAGTTTTTACCATAAGTGGATTTCACTTACTAATAACATTTTAAGTCAGTCTCTGTGAGCCATGACATGCTGATAAATGTGGAAAGCATTAAGAAATTAATTCTGGGCTTTTTATTAGGTTTAGAAGTTTAAGAGTTGTATGCCATTTAAGTCCGCAAGTCCACAGGTAACAGTAGCAAATCAAATATTACATTTACATTAATGCATAATATAAGAATTACAGATATTTTTTAAAGTCTTATCAAATGATTCCCTGAAACATAAAAACAGTTTCAGTGAAGTGAATTAACATGTAGGAAAAAAATCAGCAAAAGATTTTAGACAATTATAAGTGTGACCATTTAAGATCTCTATATAATTAAACAAAGTAATTTTAAAAAATATACATACCTATCTCAACCACAGTTCCTTCACCAAACAGGATCTGTCCACATGTCACCACGGCACAGTAGTACGTCCCAGCATCAGATGAGTTTGTTACAGTTTTGGACAGACTGTAGTCACATCTCCCGTCCTCTTTATTTCTGAGACTGCCGTGGTAAATGCTGCCTGGATGGGATTCTGATGCACCTTTAAACCAGTGCACTTTGTCTTCATCTGGACACTGATCTGTGTCATCTTTGTTCTCAGAGAGGAGCGAACACTGCAGAGTCATTGTATCACCCAGATGTACTGACTCCACGTCTGAAGTTTGTTTCACGGTGAAAGATTTCTGCAGCGTTTTTGTATCTGTGTGAATTACAAAAAGACACAAAATAGCATTAACTGTAATTATTTGGGCTTAGAAGCAGATATGACAAAAACAGTCAAATTAAAATACGTTACCATCCACGACCAAAAGCGTGCTATTAAAAAATTCCATTTTGTATGCCATTCCTCCTTGGCATAAGTAAGTTGCTTCATCTTCTTTGGTTGCATTTGTTATGGTAAGAGAATAGATATCACCCACTTTTGTGGCATTGAATCTTGAGTTGTTAAATGGTCCCTTTAGTGATATTTTGTCAAAACTTCCTGAGGCAATTGTTTCAATCATGTTTCCAAATTTCAGCTTATACCAGTAAGACAACCCAACATCATCCCTAGGGATTTTACATGTCAGAGTCACATTATCTCCAAGTTTAGTCACAGTTATAGAGCTCTGGAAAGGATCCTCATCCCCTTCGGTCAAAGCTAAAAAAAAAAACAAAAAAAATACGGTATCAGTTAGATTCGAACATGACAGGACAAAGCACCTTAAATTTAACAAATATTACTCAACCCTATATCGCAGTGTCACATGTTTCAGTGCAGAAGTCAACTTACACAATGTACTTAGAAGAATCAAAGAAAGCAGCCTTCTGATCATTGTGGTACCTCAGCCTTCTCTTGCACAACTGATGTCTTCCAACTCAAAGGAAGACTTGGTCACAAGATAATCAGGGGGTACGAAGTGGAAATTACAGTCATTGGCTGAAACACAGAAAATCCACTTCCTATAAAATTTTACAAACCATTTTAGTCAAACTTAGCTGTACAGTTTGTTTTCACTGATTATTCCCCAGCATAATCTGTATTTTAAAACCTAAATTGTACATAGATATAGGTTAAAAATATATATACATTGAGATTAATGTTTTATCATTGAAGCAAAGCAATAGCTACTAATTCCTACAGTTATAGATTTGGCATTGAGGATCGTAATTACTCCAAAAATTGTAACGCAATGCATGATTTCATGATAGTCTATTCTCCACTAAATCTCTTGATTTCTTCCTCTCGTAAAAATTGCAAAAGTGATCTGAATACTTTGATTTTGGTAGTGATAAAGAAAAACCTTGTATTCTTAGTCTGTTTTTAAAGACCATCTTCTCATCTAGACCACCATCAAATTCAGAATTTGAAAATGACAGTTTTATCAATTCTTTGATCAGAGGTTTTAAAGGCTGAAATCAATCCGAGACCCTCAAAACATCAATGACAAACAACTGACAATGTTTTGTTTTTTTTCATCTAACATTGCATTGCAGACAGGTACGTGCATTAGAAGAAGCCTTAGCTTATTGAGCAATTCTCAATAAGAGCCCGCCACACAAGTGGTGTCCTCTTTTAAACTCATCAACCACAACATTAACGCCACTGACACTGAAACCAGGCCACATACATACCAGCCAACTACAAACTGCTATAGCCCAAGCAAACCCCTCATGGCAAAGGCAGTCAACAATTGCAGCATCCTCACCTAGAAGATACACTAGCCCCAGTTTATTTAGCACTACCACAAAAACTGCTCAACAACATTTTGCCCAGCATTCAAACTCAAGCATTCACAGAACGCACTGGAAAAAGCTTGATCCACAAATAACCCATTCTGGATCCGAGACAAGTTGCTGCCCCAAGTGGAGAAGTTTAAAATATTGAGTTCATGAGTAAAGGGATAATGGAGCAGGAGATTGAGATATAAACCAGGGCCACATATTCAGCAATGCAGAAACTATATTAGTCTGTTGTGGTGAGGACAAAGCTCAGTGTGAAAGCGAAGCTGTAAATTTACTGGTCAGTCTATGTTGCTGCCCTCGTATGTTCACAAGCTCCAAATGACTGAGATTGTAGATAGGGTCAGGACCAAACCATTTAGGAGGGGCTTCGAGTAGAGCTGCCAATGTTCTACATCAAAAAGAGCCTGTTGAGGTAGTTCAGGCATCTGACTTCACTCCCTCTTTAACACCTCCTGGGTGAGATGTTTCAGGGATTTCCTACTGGGAGGACACCGTGGGCAAGATTTGGGACTCTGAAACTCTGGAGAGATTTTTCTCTTTCAATTGGTTTAGGAATGCATCTGTGTCCTCCTGATGAGCTGGAGGACTTGGCTGAGGAGAGGGAGGACTGCTTGTCTCTATTTAGACTGCTTCTATGCAATCCAAACCTGGATAAGTGGCATAAAAAACTTAGTTACAGTTATTTACAAGCCAAACCAGTAATTACCTTTTAGAAATAGGGAGTAGCACATGGTAGGGAGGAAAATCACTTGCACCTGGGTGTCACTGGCTTATTGTTGCATATGTTTGTTTGGGTTTTTTATTGCTCAATCAAGAATCTACAAAAATTCAAAGAAGTCTCAAATTCCGACAGCGGCACATACATGAACTGTTTATGTGTGGAAACATAGTGCTTAACGTAGTGCTTAACAGGTCAGGAGCAAGGTTATGAAGGACCATGAAGGTGAGCAGAAGACGTTTTGTATATTATCTGGAATTTCACAGGGAACCAGTGAAGTTCCTGAAGAACAGAGGTGATTTGGTAATAATGTAAGCAACAGAGTTTTGAACAAGTTTAAGCTTATGGAGGGATTTTGGGGGGAAACCATGCAAGAGAGAATTACAACAGTCAATGCAGTAGGTAACGGGACTATGAACAAGAATGGACGTAGACTGAGGGGAAAGAGAAGGACGTAATCGGGAGGGGGGCGCAGAATAGCACGGGAAGGAGCGCAATCACACAAAAACCACACAGTCGCTAAAAGGTCCGCAAAATCCTCTTAGCCTTTACGTTGCTACCAGCCTGTTGCTCGAGCCGCCGTACCGCGACGCTCGTACCGGGGGGGCTGGCGCGTCAGACATGGCCGTTTTGATCCCATGGCTATCCAGCCGTAACGCTCCTCACCTGCGGCACCCAGAACCTGAAAGACAAGACAGGAAGAAGAAAAAAAACAGCATTCCCCCGCAGGGTGGGTGGATGTCAGAAATGTTAGCCCATTAATTCCCTGCAGTTCTTTTTCAATTGAACACTAATTTGTTCAGCACTTTCTTGTCTTTTAGGTTTTATCCGATACCGGTGCCAAATCGGTACTTTTGAAACGGTGCCGGTGCTTAAACGGTGCTCAAACCGGTGCTTAAAGAATGGAGAACACAAACTTTGTCCAAAAACCTCTCATGTTCAGCTGTTTTGTTGTTGTTTTTTGTAAAAAGATAACAATGTTAGCCTTTTCTGCAGCTATGGGGCATATATGGCATCACTCTTGGCTGGAAGCTTAAACAATGGAAAAAACACAAACTTTGTCCAAAAACCTCTCATGTTTAGCTGTTTCCCACTTTTTCTTTGGTCATTTTAGCCTTTTTGTCCAGGGTGAAGGGAGTATCTGCCATCAAACAAGAAGACAGCAGCATGTAGCTATGATGATGTTTGCTAGTTCACCTTACATGCATTAATGTAATAACGTGGTTAGCCTACTCAACGTAAATTACACACGGACAACATTAAGCGACTCACGCAGAGAAGAACGGCTGCTGCTGCATCATCATCCTCATCATTTCTGCTACACTGGCAGGGCTAGGGGCCAGGACTCTATTCTTCGGGTTTTTGGGGGATGTTGCTCCGGTCCGATAACTGGCAACCCACCCAACGTGCACAGTGTGAGGTCTCGCAGCAAGCTATCAAATACGGCGCATTTCTGGGCTTTTAAAAAAAACGCTATGCGTCGCCAGGTGTTTCATCGGATTCTTGGTGTTACCTCCTTTGACAGTATCACAATATCATCTTAAAGCACTTGTTGCTGCTGAGTTTGCATCTTTTACTGTGAAGTACAGCCAGACTTTTGACCGCTTCGCCTTGGACATTTTTAATCTGTAGCTCTGCTCTAACTGAACGTACGTACCTGGCCCCGCCTACTATCCTGGGAAACGTAAAATGATTGGCTAGAAGTGTATCACAGCTCAGGAAAAAAAAAGGACTGAAATAAAGCACTGAAATGTGCGCTGCTTTTCGGTCTGCTTACTACCGTTTATGTCAGAACGGCACCGGACACCGATACCCATCCCTAAGCAGGAACATCTGGCCCAGCAAGGTGACAAATGCTCTGTTGCCACCTGCTGGTAAGTTTTTCATTCTTTTAATGTTATTCCACAGTGATTCTTGAAGAAAACAATTACAAAATATATTGCCTAAATGAAAAATTATACTTTCATGTAAATCTCGCTGCTTTGTAAAAATATTAGATTATGAAAATAAAAAAATATGCATTTGTTAATCTGTCAGTTAAACCAGTAAATTATTAATAAATAAAGACCACCGCTGCTTCTGTTTCTTGTTTTTTGTTTTCTTTCTATGCAGAATCTAAATGCATTTTTACACTTCATTAAAAAAAGTAATTGTAAAGATGACCTAACACTCTGCAATTACATTGTGTTTGTCATTGTACAATTGTCCTGTATTCGTAAATGCCACTATACCATACCTAATCGTAAGATTCGTAAAGCCCACTTGTTTGGGCAGAAGGAACCAAACATATGTGATATACCACCAGGCCCCAGTCACTCTTCTCCATGTATCCTAAGACTGCTTTGGTCACTAATTTTTAATCCTATTTTTACTGACATGTGTGGACAATATATGACTTCAGACTTTAAATCTTAAATCAGTTCCCTGAGGTAACCATCTTATCACTACGATACCATCTCATCCTCGTCAAATTAAATTTAACTGCCTTTATTATTATTATTTACATTCTCTAGTGATAAAAATATGTCACATTAAAAGTGAATTTAACAAATGGTAATGCCAGAAAGGGGATTCTGTCCATCTGGATGTAGTGTTTTTCATTCATCCAAATCAATGTTTTCAGTCTCACAGTCTGATACGTGTATACCATAGTTTTAAAAGATGTGGGACACTGTGTAAAATGTATATAAAAACAGTATGGGACATGTTTACCACTGAGTAGCATCCTCTCTTCTTTTAACAACAGTTCATAATTGTTTGGGATTTGAAGAGACCAGTTGCTGGACTTGGTGAAAGTTGCCCCATTATTGTCCAATAGCTGTTCAACAGTCCTGGGTCTTCTTTGTCATATGTTTCAGAGCCAGTTTTTAGTCAGCCTCCTGTCAGAGAGCACAGGGTTTTCCAAAATGTATGTGCAAAACCTACTATCCTCTCAGCTTGCAAAGCACCAGCCTTTGGTAATGAAATATGGAAATTCCCATTAGAAATACAAAAAATATACATTCCAGTAGCTCGGCATCAATCTGGCTTTCAAAGACAATAGCCAACTGTCATTTCCATAAGGAGAGGTCATTGGAAAGAATGAACAGAGTGTTGATAGATGCTTGGCTCTTAGACTCTGATGGCCCATTTCGGCAGAAGGGAACCCCAGCTGTGAAAGCGATTGGAGCAGGACCTTGAGCCGAGACGCTGGTAGTGGAGATAAAGGTGGCGTGAATGGAGCTTGAATGATGAGAGGAGGAAATATGGAGGAAGTGGGGTGCACAAAGGCATTTCAAAGGAGAAAGACAGGTGCATAGTTAAATTTAAAGTATGTGTCATGAATGCTGATTGGTGAAAAATTTTTCTCCAGGCAGAGAAGCTTTGTTTAGTGGTGGATGTCACGATCCTGAGTCATTTGACCCTGTGTTTTGAATTTTCTCGTGTTTTGATGTCATTTTGTATTATGTTTCATGTTTAAGTCCTCTTTGGTAGTCTTAAGTTGATTTTCTAGTGCCTAGGTCGTTTCTGTTTAGATTTAGATTATTTAGTATTTCCCCCTTGTGTCTTTGCCCTCTGTGTCTCCCTCTGTGTGGCTGTGATTATCTTTGTTGTGAGTTCTTGAGACTTGCTTCCCTCATGTTTCATTCTGTTCCCTGTCATGTTATCCATATTTCCTCAGTCATGTCTCCGTGTGTCTGTCTGCGGCTCTGTGTGTGTGTTCCCATTACTCCCTGTTTTACTTTGTCTTTTAATACATTACATCATATCTCTCTTGACTCTCTTCAGTGTACCCTTTCAAATAAAGCCGTCTTCAGCAGACAGTTCAGCTTCTTCACCTCTTTTCAGCAGATAGTTCCTTCTTCAGTTTTTTTCAGCAACACTTCCACTACATTTCTGCTACATGGCATCCACACACCATTTTCACAGGAAATAAAACTTTTTCTAGTACACATCTATAGTTTGTTTTCATTGCATGTGTGGATTGGATGGGTTGTTAATGAGATCTGGTGGGAATTCTATATCAGTAGTACCTTTAGAAATGTGATTACTTAGAAAATTAAAACTTATACACTCCCAGTCAAAAGTTTGGACACACCTTCTCATTTAATGTTTTTTTATTTTTATTTATTTACATGACTATTTATATTGCAAATGTAAATAGTGATAATAAACAAAAAAGTGTGAAATATCTCAAAACATCTTTTATATTTTAGATTCTTCAAACTAGCCACCCTTTGAGTTGATTACTGCTTTGCACACGCTTGGCATTCTCTCGATGTGCTTCATAAGGCAGTCACCTGAAATGGTTTCCCAACAGTCTTGAAGGAGTTGCCAGAGATGCTGAGCACTTGTTGGTCCGTTTGCCTTCACTCTGCTGTCCATCTGTGTGTGTGTGTGACATCAAACTACACTAATATCCAACAGTTGATTCTGTCTGTTCAAGAGACATAGGAACTTTTCAGTGTTCACTGTACTCTAATTCTCACAAGACAAAATAGAATAGAATAGAATAGAACAGTATAGCCATTTATTGTCATTGTACATGTACAACAAAATTGTGGGTGCTCCATACCAGCTGTCCCAGAATAAAATCTAAATAGTAGACAACAGGAATAAACAGCAAACAGGAGAAATATATACAATCAAGAGGAATATATGCAAAATACCATTAAAACACAAAGGCACACATTAGATTAGTTACAAAGTTACAAGTTAAAAAGTGCTTGGAAGTAGTGCAAAGAAAAGATACAGTCTGAACAGAGTCAGTTTGGTTTGCTATGTAATTTTCATATGTAATTTGCACCACAAATTACACATAAGTTCTGGTTTTGAAGAAAATAAATCATGCTGTGTGCTGTTCAACACTACTGAAGAACAAAATGTTATGGTCCCTCAACTTAACATTTCCCTGAACTGCAGAACTTGTGGTGTTTTAGGCAGTTTTTGCAGTACATATTAAACCATACATAGAGAGTCAAAAAAAAGGAAGTGAACAAACATTGTAACAGGAAATGAAAAAAGATCATTTGTTTTAGAAAAAGATCAAGATGAAATTGGTGTCACAGGAAGTTTATTTTAAGTGTTTTCTGTGTTAACCAATCAGACGCATTTTATGGTCTAACCCAGTGTGCTCATTTCCCCTTCGTAACTTACTGAAAAACCCTAAGGTGCATTTTCAAGATGGTCGTCTTATGGATTACATTGCTTTTTCTTCATCAAGGAAGTAAGGGGGGATTTGTTTCTGTTTGTTTGTTTTTTGTTTTATCTGACCATCTGACCAAACTGAACGTATTATTTATGTGGAATAGATTCATATATAGATAGACGTAGAGATAATAAGAGAGATAATAACATAAAAACTGAACGTTTTCTTTTACCTTAGATTCTCTGGTTCCAGTGAAAACAGTCCATGTTGGTGAAACAGCAACATTAACATGTGTTTTACCAAATGAAGAGCTCGGCAGCAGAAAGGTTCAGTGGTACAAGCAGAGAGTCGGGGATACTCTTAAATTATTAGTGTCACTTCCTGGAAAACCTTCTTCAGAGTTTTTTCAGTCAAGATTTTCTGCACATAATAGTAAAGATTTTAGCAACCTGACCATTTGGAATGTAGCCCAAGAGGATGAGGGAATGTATCACTGTGGAATAGACACCTGGATTAAACTTGAATGGAGTGGGACATATTTGTTAGTAAAAGGTAATGAACTGACCAACTTTTACAAAATTATTAAATGCCTCTGAGAATGTGGTGAATAATTTACTTGTATTACATTTTGTATTACACAGGAAACACTGAAAGGACATCAAACTATATTGTTGTACAGCAGCCGACAGAATCAAATCCACTCCGTCCAGGAGACACAGCAACTCTTCAGTGTTCAGTTCTGACAAATTCTGAGAACAACACATGTTCAGGACATCATAATGTTTTCTGGTTCAGAGATGGATCTAATAAATCTCTTCCAAACATCATCTACACTCATGGAAACAGAACTGATCAATGTGAGAAAAGATCTGACCCTCAGGATGGATGTGTTTATCGCTTCTCTAAGAACGTCAGCTCCTCTGATGCTGGGACCTACTACTGTGCTGTGGCCACATGTGGGGAGATATTATTTGGAAATGGAACTACACTGGATGTTCAAGGTATCTGTGCCTGATTTTTAAATCAAGACATATAATATACATAAATCAGATAATATTTATCAGAATCAGAATCAGAAAGGGTTTTATTGCCAAATGTTGAGCAGGTTTACAACATTAGGAAATTGCTGCGGTGCTTCAGTGCAAACATACTGTCATAAATTGCGCTTAAATAGACATGAAAACAAAAATAAGAATAAGAATTAAAAGTGCTAAGTAGATAGATATATACATGTTACATATACATTTATATTTAAGTACCAGTAATTAATACACGTTTTTATTTCATAACTACTGTAATCTTACTATTAGGCAACTCTAATTTTGTTTTCTCACTTTTACTATTGTTGCAGAAAGCAGTGCATCATCACAGACAGCCAGTACAGTTGTTTTTGTGCTTTGTGCTGTCATGGGTATAAATCTCATTGTTACTGCTGTCCTCATTTACTTAACCAAAAAAACCAACAACAGTGATCACAAAGGTAATTGAAGTTACTCACAGTTCACTATAAACAAAATAAAAGATTCTTAAATTGATATTAACTTGTTGTCTTTCTGTACTATGATCAAGCTCCTGTCCTGCAGAAAAACCTTAGTGATCAGAAAAGACAACAGGTAAAGTATTAAATGCTACGATTACTCTCACAAATATGAAAATTAAAAATAAATATTAAAGGTTAATAAGCATTTTTACATTTTTGAATAGATTAAGGACACACAGATGTTTTCTGCTGTTGTCTTTGCCGTGATGGAAGCTGATATTTGCAACAAAAAGGATGCAAAGGCAGCAGAGAAGCAGCAGATCTACACCGCCATCAAAGCTTTTGGGCTGGATTAGATCTACTTACTCTTGCTTGGTATGAAACAATCTACATTAGAGGATTTTTTTCATCTTATAGATAATGCGCTTTTATGTGTTGAAATTATGCTCTAGTTCTTTACATATACACTTGCATACACATCCAAGCTGCAAGATTCCTACTGTAGTCTGGTCATGACTGTTTTATTTACAATCTTATGTGCTGTCTTTAATAAAGCCCAAGTTATCAAAGTAATTATGTTAAAAATGGACATTACTGCACCAGGGGTGTGATTAAATGGGTGCCCACATAATTCCCCTACTTTCTTTCCTGTCATGCTAACAACCCATTCCTTTTTAATTAACATTTCTGTAAATTACTGCAAGGTTGTTGTAAAGTATTAATGTAAATATTATTTTCAGGGTGATATTCATGTACCAGGAAAAGGTAGCCAGTAGCCTACACAATTTCCTTAGGGATTAATAAAGTATTCTGATTCAAATTTGATTCAAGGGTCACTTAATTCCAGAGCAGCACATTTCTTGGAACCTTTTCTGCTCGACCATCTCTGATTTGCATAAAAAATGTTCATCTTTCGGCACATAACAATTGCTGTGAAATTTCTGAAATCAAACAACTGTGTAAACATAGTTAAAAGAATCAAGAGCAACCTGATTAAATATGTTAAACATGTCAGAATTTGAATATGTAGAAAAAGTATTTTGAGATTGAAACACATTTAGTCTTCCACTGTTTCCACTGAAAAAAACATTAAAATACCTGCATAGAGACTGTAATAATAAACTATTAATGGAATGGTAAAGTTTTTATCATGGTGTTTGTGTGAAAGACCGTCTTTTTGTACTGTAATCAGTGTTTATGTTGAAATAAAAAATTACTGCAAGAAAATCTGTGTTCCACTGCATATCCTTGATCAATGAGACATAAGATTTTCCTTTCTCTTTGTATGCTAAAACTTGTTAACCAAACTTGACTATTCCCTTTTTAACGTCATCCAACACTGCTATCATTTTTAACAGCTTTTCTTTTTTTCTTTTTTTTTTATTAAAAGGTTACAAAGCCCTGCTTGGCTTAACATATTGGTCCTTCATCCTGTCAGTGTTCTGGAAGGTTTTATTGTTAAAAATTGTTGCTCATTGTCTTTTGGTGTCTTTTGGCCAGTTGTGCTTCAGATGGATGTTCAGTTAGTTACCTGTTGTTGTTAAAATTGGGGCGGCAGGGGGAAGGAGGGGGATGCAACACAGTCTCCCTGTAGTGATCACCCAGCAGGGCAAGGATTCGTAGCACTGCATAGTTTGTCTAATCTATTATAAATAATAACATAACTGTCTGCTCCTGTATTTTATTACATGTTGTAATAATTGTATATATAACATTCAAGAAGCTTTCACAGGTTATCACTTGTTCCACATGTGTCATGTTATAGCCTTATTTCAATGGATTAAATACATTTTTACCTCATATGCTATGACAAAATGAAGAAAGGCTGCTTGAAATTTTTACAAATTTATTAAAGCAATTAAACTAAAATATAACATTCAGTGTAGAAGTTAAAGGTTTTGTGGTGCTACATAGTCTGTCTAATATATTATATACAATAATAATAGACACTGGTGCAAAAGCACAATAACAATCAATACAAATATAAAGGTAACAGTAATGTCTGATAATATGTGGGGTGTAGATATACAGTGTTTTACATGAACAGGCAGACTTTTATACTTTGTGTAGACTTTACAGGTATATACCTATTTTTGTGGCACAGAATATGACATACAACAACTTAATGCATTAACAATATGACGCAATGAGTATATGAAAAAAAATATATGTATCACACAGAGAGTCATATATCTTTCTGTCAGTCTCAGAGTTAGAGCTTGTGAGCTCTGCAAAAAATGTGTCATCCAGAGCATGTGTTATGCTCAGACATGTGGATTATTGATTAATGAAACATGCCAATATTAGAATAAAAGGATATTCTGACAATGACTATTATAACTTCAGTATAACAGGCCTTGATTGAACTTTGGTGCTTTGGTGCTCTAAAGCAAAGAAAAACCTTTGGTGTCTACATGAAATAAGACAATAATAAATAAGATAATAATAATAATAATAATAATAATAATAATAATAATAATAATAATAATAATAATAATAATAGGGCAGCAAAGTCTTTCTGTGTGGAGTTTGCATGTTCTCCCCGGGTACTCCAGCTTCCTCCCACCGTCCAAAGACATGCAGTTTGTGGGGATAGGTTAACTGATTATTCTAAATTGCCCATAGGTGTGATTGTGAGTGTGAATGGTCGTCTGTCCCTGTGTGTTAGCCCTGCGACAGACTGGCGACCTGTCCAGGGTGTACCCTGCCTCTCCCACTATGACCCCCAGCGAACCTGAAAAGGGTAAGTGGAAGCGAATGGATGGATTGATGGATAATAATAATAATAATAATAATAATAATAATAATAATAATAATAATAAAGTAAAACTCTGAATACATTTACTGAATACGTTTCACTGATTAGTAATATTTTAAGTCAGTCATAAAATTTTGCAAAAACTTCCTGAAGTAATTGTTTCAGTAATATATCCAAAATTCACTTTATACCAGTAAAATAAGCCAACATCATCCCCAGGGATATTACATGTCCACTTTAGCAGAGCTGAACTGCAGTAAAGTGTTTCATTTCAGTTAAGATTGTAATTATACTGAAAATTGTAATTCAATATATGATGTCAGGATACTGTTTACTCCACTTGGCCTCTTGGTTTTTATCTCTCTTTTGTCCTCACTCGTTTTGTTTAACTGTTTCATAAATTAAATGCATCAAAAAAATTTAAAACCAAATATGTATATTTGGGTCCTCGGAATCAGAGATCCCCTCTTTTTGTTACAGTGTGGTATTCAAACTTTTAAAACTGATCTGAATATTTTCTAAATTGATTTTGGTCAGACAAAGACAAACGTAAATGGCCTGCATTTGTATAGCGCTTTACTTAGTCCCTAAGGACCCCAAAGCGCTTTACACTACATTCAGTCACTCACACATTCACACACAATGTGAATGTGTGCAGCATTGTAGCCACAGCTGCCCTGGGGCGCACTGACAGAGGCGAGGCTACCGGACACTGGTTCCAACGGGCCCTCTGACCACCACCAGTAGGCAACGGGTGAAGTGTCTTGCCCAAGGACACAATGGCCGAGACTGTCGGAACCGGGGCTCAAACCGGCAACCTTCCGATTACAAGACGAACTCCCAACTCTTGAGCCACGATCGCCCCGTGACGTATTCTGAGACACTTCTCTGTTTTCACAGATCATCTTCTTTTGTTGTGAGAGGGCTCATCTAGACTAACAGCAAATTCAGTACTCTTAACAAACTTACAGTTGAGCAAGAAGTGTTAGCAATCCTGTGATATGAGATTTAAAAGGCTGAAATTAGTCTGACACCCTCAAAACATGAATGACAAACAATTGACAGTTTTGGCTTGTTTTCATCTGACGTGACATTGTAGTTCGGTACATGCATTAGAAGAAGCTTTAGCTTATTGTGCAATTTCCTGACAGGTGAGAAATGATGAAAGGAAATGGTATAAGATCCTGCCACACAAGTGGCGTCCTCTTTTACGCTCATCAACTGTAACATTAAAACCACTAACGCTGAAACCAGGCCCTGGCATTTGTGTAAATATTACAGCGATACATATCAGCCAACTAAACGCTTTTGTAGCCCAAGCAAACCTCTCGTGGCAAAGTCAGTCACCAATTTCATCACCCTCACCTAGAAGAACAACAGCCCTCTCATGCCACAAAACTTCTCCTGAACAACTCAAGGAATGCAACATTTTGCCCAACCTTCAGACTCAAGCATTCACAGGATGCACTATAACAAGCCACAAATAAACTATTCAATAACCCAGTGGCTGAGGAGAGGGACATCTGGTAGCCTCAATTCAATTAAATTAAATTCAATTCAGATTTGTTAATATAATGTCACAACACAACCACAGTTGCCTCAGTGCTCTTTATATTTTAAGGTAAAGACCCTACAATAATACAAAGAAAACAGAGCGCACCATACGTCACATGACCCCCTATGAGCAAGTGCTTTGGTGACAGTGGGAAGGAAAAACTTCCTTTTAACAGCAGGAAACCTCCAGCAGAACCAGATATAAAGACAAGACAAACCGATG